GACAAGACCAGTGTTCAGGCTGTCTCTGCGGGTGTTAAAGCTCCTCTCTTCCTAAACTGGGCACCACCTCTTCTCCTCCTCTTTAGTAAATAAACACCACTGTGTCAAACTACAGCTATGTCAGATCTCCTTTTATTTTCATGGGAACATTAATAATGCACACGCACCAATAACACACACCAGTATATCCGTTTCAAAGTCATCTGCACTGCAAACTAGTTAATGCAGAGGCAGTGGGACTTTGTCAGCCAGTAGGAATCTATTAATCTTATCCTGCGTGTAGACAGGGTGGCTGTGTGTACAGGAGATTTGTATGCAAACAGGCTGCAAAGTCTAGACGATAAAAAGAAAAACAGGGAATTAACAAAAGGGCTGTGACAAATTTTGGGTATATTTTCAGTGGACACCTCCTCCAGAGGGTAATGTGGACATGCAGACAGCAATCTAATCAGAGATGACCTCTCCGTTCACCCGACATCAATAACAGCTTCTCAGCATCATTAGCTTGTAAATCACAGAGGTCGTCAGTGAGGCGGGGGTGGAAGGAAAAAAACGCTCCCTCTCATAGCTGGAGGTCACAGTCACTGTCCATGGCTTGTAAGGGATCAACAACTCAATGAGGAGAATCGAGATTATATTGATCATTTAGATCTGTGGGTCACTGTGTAGTCAAATCACATGGAGATGGTGACGGAGACCAGAGGAATCAATCAACAGCAGAGACAGCAAAACAACAACAGAAGCTGATTTAAATATGTTTGCTTCCAGTTTATTACAAATTGTTGCTCAACTGAACAACAGAAACCTCATCTAACGCAATGAGCCACCTTTACACAAGATGGAGTGGCTCCTCAGAGAGGGGCAAAGACAAACGTTCACCATAGTAACGCCAAGAATGGTATGTTGTAAATCTGTCAGAGCAGAAAGAGAACAGACTGAGGAAAAGAGGCAGAAATGTGCAAACGGCAGCTACTTCCACACTCGAGCTGCCAGTTCTTGTCTTTAAATTCTCTAGGAGTACTACAAAACCACAAAATCCTAAACAGAAATCTACAAAGCCAAATAAACAATTCCCTCGTTTCACCATTTGCTCTCAAAGTACAGTAAAAGAGGTAAAGTTCAGATGCCGTGCCTGTTATATTACCATAGCAACATGGGGCCATAACTGGGAATTGGGGCGATTGGTCCGAGGGAATGCCCTACTGTGTATGCATGCGTACACAAAGATAACATCCTGACAAAAAACCACACACTCTCTCTTTCTCTTCCTCCAAGGGCACCAGAAGTACCCCTCAGTTTACACCGCATTGTCCTACTAAAGCAAGCAGCTCCTCCCCTCTGAGCCAGCGTAAATTGAGATGGGGTTTACATTCATGGGAGAGGGGGGAAAACCATCTCGAGGTAATTTCGGGGGAAGCCTCCTCAAGATATGGGTAGCCTATATCTCCACAAAATTAAGCTAGGAAAATATGAGGATAGCTTGGAGGATTTCTGGGTGAATGGGTTCAGAAGTGCTCCACTTTCCCTTCTCGCAGGGGGAGGGAAGGGGACTGAGTAGAGGTTAAAAATCTACGTTTCAATGTTGACTCTAACACTTGCCCAACAACATGTTTATTTAGGGTGAAATAAAGAATTATGATGTCTGGAGGTAGATTTCATCCAAACTAAACATACTGCGTTACTGGAGTGCAAGGTGAAGCGATATCATGGTACTACGGTATACCAGGGTTGTTAGAAATCCCGAAGGTAAGGTTTTCAATACCGTTAAAAATACAGACACTCCAGTTTCTACTGAGCTCAAAATGGAGAGGCTGTAATGAGAACGTTTTCATGTAGTTCACATTGCGTACCACCAGAGGTCAGTCTGGCGCCACAGCAGCTGAGCTCACTGTAAGTGGTGGGGATAATGCTACAATTGGGGGTGTGCCATATCATCTTATTCACGATTAGACCAGTATAATTTTTAAAACAATATAAAAAATTCTTATCGCGATACTCGCAATATTCTGACTTGTTGACATATTGCCGTCATACTGTCAACCACGGCAACAACGAGCATAGCTGGAAGCAAAATTATTGCCGACTCCGCAGGGGTTTCAAAAAGAGGAGCAGCTTCAGTAGCGCGAAATAAACAGTGGCGTCCTGAATGTTTTATGAACAGCCCCGGACTTCTCAGACTCTTTTAGTGAGTTACCCCTCACAGGGAACTCATTCAGCGGCTCCTCTGGCAGCAGCACAGCAACTCTCCCTTTCCTCTCTCGCTGTGTGCACGTGTTATGAAGTAATTTTGTCATAAACCTTTGGTAATGTAAATATACGTGACGCTCACAGCTTGACAAAAAATTACATATATGTGAATGTGCGATAGTTCTGGTATCATAACAGCCTGTCACAGGTTACAGCATGATGATTAGAGGAGAAATGGCAGAGCATAAAGGTCCAGGTGGGAAAACAACAAAACAAAACACATTTAGATTCTGTATTCACAAACTGTGCCTTTAAACAAGCCGTCTGGGCTTCTGGGAAGTTGTGACATCAAAAAGATAAAAAGGCAGAAACTGCTGATACTGTTTGGTTACGGTCATTTCCCAGCTGCAAAGATCGGAGCGAACAGATGTGGAAGACCCAGAAACGCAACCAATCTTAACACGTGGGCTTTTCGAGAGGGAGGCTTAAAGAGACAGGCGCTAAAACAGAGCATCTCACACAGAGGGTGAATATAGGTATATTCAGACAGATAGTCTGAAAAAAATAAAGTGTTTTTCGAACATTAAAGCATGAAAACATGTTTAAGTCGAAACCTAAAATACAAGTATAAACCTAAAAATGACCATCATACGGGACCTTTAAATCTAATTTTAGAAAAACTGCCAATGCTAGTGGTGTTCAATGAATGACTATGCCTGTTTCATAGGGATGTGTTCTTTGTGTTTATGCTAGGGATATGCTGCTACGTAGGAGTTAAAGAGTCAAAAGGCTGCAGATAGATTACACTGGAGGATCTAATGGTCAGGGGTTTAACAACACAAAATTAACCACTGCCATGAATATTTGCATATAAACTATGAATTAAAATCTAACAGTGTTTTTGTGAATCAATACAGTATCACTAAACATAATATTGCGATACACGAGTATACTAATATTTTCGTACACCCCTACATACTAACATGGCAAGCCAGCACTACCTGGACTTCTTCATCCGTGGCTGACTCATGCACCAAATACCAGAACACGCCTCAGAGAATGTCAAAGATAAAGATGTATTCAAAACACCTGAATAATACAAGCGGAGCCCAGTTACCATGGTTATTGTGAGAGTCTGATATACAAATCAAGGACATTTTCTCCACTTCCCCACTCCATCTGACATGTCAGAACATGTTGCCGTTTTCCCAAACAATGCATTGCTGGAAGACACAGATTATCCCTCTGGGAGTCCTCTGAAAATAACCATCAAGGGCACAGCAGCCGCTTTTGATGGATATCTGTACACAGGGATGTCTTGACTGTGATGACTCAATGGGCCTTAGGAGCTCAGATGCGTTTGCGTTTGTACCATGGCGAGGTGAAGGCACAGCAAGTCTCTGTTTTGGGGTTGTTTTCTCCTTGTTTTCCTCCCTGGTTCAATAGCTCTGCTGCATTGGCTCCCTGTGACGCAGGGATCTGATCAATACTGGGTCTCGGGGGCAGCTGAGCAGGCAGCGAGAGGACTCTACACAGAATATGCTTCATAGACTGTGTAATGTTGGGATCGGGGGCTGGTGTCATCACTGTGGCTAATGCTCTGCAACAATCTCTGTTGTTTTTCATCCACCAAGCATATTGAAACAAGTAGTTAATGAATCAGTCGATGGATCAACTGAAAAGTTAAATCACAAGATCACAAGATAAAGCTGTTTATCAAGCAAAAATGCAAATATTCAGAGGATAATTTTGCAGATTAATCCATAATATAAATCAACAGATAAACTGATGACAGTAATCATTAGTTGCAGCCCTACACACAGGTCAGTGGGACAGTGACCATCTGTGTAAAGACACTGCACCAGATTGAGGGGTGCCCCATGTCCCAATAACCCAACTACAGTGGGGACACACAGGAGGATTACTTCTGCAACCATGACCTTCTCTATGAGCTCTGCGGAGTATGTGTGTGCATGTACAGGCCATCACAGCCAGCACAGCCCCAGCATACCAGATAAATTACAGGATACCTGTGAAGAAACGTACAGATGATTTGTGAAGGAATACAATCTGCTCACACTTAAACACACCAGAAACCAGTCCTTTCTGGCTAAACATGAGAGCATGCTGCTTTACTGCTGCCAGCCTGTGCGCACACACACACAAGCCTGAGGACACAGCAGTATTACCATGCACGCGCGCACACACACACACACACACACACACACACACACACACACACAGTGCAGGACCATTAATCATAAGCAACCCAGTTCTGCTTCTCGCACCACACTCCTCTCATGCGCTTCTGGCCCAAGGTTGACTTTGCAGTCTCTGTATTTACCTCAGTGTGGTGCAGAGGTTGCATGCCGTGAAGATTAAATCAAAAGGACAGAGGGCTGGGGGGGTGATGAGTGCATTTTTGAACTCTGCGGGCATACATGCATGCACATTCCCTCCCGGTAAACATCGCAAGACCAGACCAGTTAAAAGCTGTCTTTTACATCTATCAAAATGCAAACATCTGATGCATTTATAGTGGGAATGAAATCAGCAGGGATAATTGACACTAACTGTGTTACAGACCAGTAACTGTATAGCCCAAGGGCACTGCATCCTTCAAGTTACACATATAAGAGCTGCACAGTTTGTACTGTGGAGCAAAACTAGTGAAACTGCTCAAGTCTGAGAAGCAGCCTGTCTTCTATTTATCCAAATAAATTCAGCAAGTCTGGAATGTTTTTGTGATGTAACATTGTTCCTCCACGTTTTATAAATGTCAGGGAAACAAAATGGATTACAGGACGTCTTACCCAGGTAGAGAGATGCATTTTCTTTCTTCACATTGTCGTCCAGGTAGGTGGGCCCCAGGGTGTAGATTGGCGTGGACCCCATGCCCACAAGTATCTGAGCACAGATGAACAGAGTCACATACAGGTTGTGCTCATTGCCCTCCTGGTCGCGAGGGCACGATGCCACGTCGAGCTCACGCCCACTGCTGTTGCAACTCAAACAGAGGCCTTCACGCCCCGTTGATGAGTTCATCTCCTGAATCTGGTACGGTGGTGAGATGAAGTGGGGCAGGGAAAACAATGCTGCCCCCACAGCGATGACCACACCACCTACAGCCAGCCAGCGCGGCCTCTGACCTCTGCCCCCAAAGTAGGAGATGAAGACCACCACCAGCAGGCTGCCGATGTCAAAACAGCTGACCAGCAGGCCAGACTCAGAGCTGCGCAGACTGTAACGCTTCTCAATGGTGGTGATGACACTGCTCAGGTAGCCCGAAACCATCAGGGACTGAATGAAGGTCAGGTAGCACATGCAGAACAGGAAGCAGCGAGAGTCTCTTAGGATGACCCGCACATACTTCCTGGCTGGGATGCGGATAAGGCGGGTGAGAGAGAAACCAAGTTTTTTACCCCCCGAACCTGCAGCCCTGTGGCCCTCCACAGGTAATGAGCTGCTGAGCCCCACCATGCTGGAGGCAGAGGGGGAGAAGTCTGTCCTGGAGGAGGGAGTCTCTGCCTGGCTTGAGTCTGGGGTTTTTGCCTGGAGCTCGTTGCCCTCCTCCACCGCCACACAGGTGTGGGTGGTGTTGACCAGCCGAGTCTCCGCAGACTTGCGATCCGGCTGACAGGGTCCATTCAGGATGGGTAAGCTTTTGGACTTGAAGCAGGTCTCTGGGTCCATGTACTGGTCCTGGAGCTCACGGATCTCCAGAGACTCAGACAGGTCACTCCCCATCTCATCGTTGTCCGATGAAGTCATGTCGCAGCTGGAGACGTGGCTCCTTTCTGTGCTGAAGAGTCGGTCAGTAACTAGTGCCACATGAGGGCAAAGTGGAACTGCTGCTGGAGAAAAGACTCTGCCCTGCCAGTGGGACTGGGTCGGACTGAACCCCTCTGGTTATGTGCATGTTTTGTTCCACATAGCCATTCACAGCAGCTCCTCTCTGTCACCTTAGCTCCAAAATATTCTTACAAGCCACTGGCCACTGGTGACATCATGACTGGATACAGCTGAACATCACCCCCCTAACACTTCACAATATTGTCTAATGTGTGAACTGTTTTTAATAAATAGTTTCTAATAATAAAAAAGAAACATACAAATAACAAAAAGGTGATGTCTTTACAGTACTCCCCTAATTTATGACCCCTTGTAGGTGTTGCTTTTATGGCTCTTTGTTAGATAGCTGGATTCATAGGGGCTTTTTGTTTCCTTTGTCCCATAGCTGTGCAGCATCCTGGGGGAAAAAAGATAAAAACATGAAATTAAAATATTAACAAATATCAAAAAATGGCTGATAGATCAAAAACAGACACATTTACATACAAACAAAACGTCAAAATATAACCCCATTCACTTCTGGCATTCTGGCAATACGTCCACCCTGGATTAAACCGGTCACTTCACATCGCTTAATTGCTTAAAACGAGAAAATATCCCCCCAAAAAATAAAAAATAACCTCCAGGAACAAACAACCGCATCGGTGTCAAACTGTCGCAGCGGGTAAGGCTCAATAACAGCCAGCTTTCCTTTGTCAAAACGAGAAATATACCTAGAGAACAAAAGACCACGCTGTCCACAAACGTCTCAGTCATGACTTTGAAAAGAATTAAAACCTCGGATTCAGCGCGAGACATTTCTGAAATTAAGCGACAGCAAGTCTTGGCTTCGACTAAAACGGCGACAAATATTATTTGGCATAACTTCTGTGAAAGGCTAGAGGTGCAGGAGGCTGTAATACTCACACAGGACAGAGGGAGGTAGCCTGTTGTTCTCCATGGAGCGGCCACTCAGTGAATGAAATCTGTTTAATGCGGATGGCTGCTGCTGCTGGTGGGCACGTGCTACCTTCAGCGGCTGTCGGAAATATTAATATTCAGAGTTGGGGGCACCAATTAAGCACGAAATAAACGCTGAAAGTGTCTAGTTTTGATTTCGCCAGCTCATAGGATTAAAAATAAGAAAATTAAAATGTTATAAAAAATAATATAAGTGGCGATTGAAGAGAAATATTTGGTCAGAAATATGTTCATCTATTATACAGCCGATAAAACTTATCATGTATCTTTTTACGTGTGTAACTCACCGTAGCTTTATGCTACTCTAGCTCTAAAATGTTAAAACAATCACCAGAAAACACGTTTCCGACTTCTTCGCTGTATTTTGTACACAAATACGCTAACTTTTCTTCTCAACCGTCGAGCTACAACATAAACCCAACGAGGAGAATCTACATTGAATGTAACAAATGTGGGGGTGATTGTTTTTCACACCAGCTATACTGGGACTTGTAGTTCCTTTCGCGAGTAAAGCGCGCGTTCAGCTCACTATTAAACTACATGTGAAGCTGAGATAAGTAGCAGCGAGTCTCTGAGACACAAGCCATACTTGATACTTCTGGAAATACTGTTGCATCCATAATTTCATTCAGGTAATTTCAACTACACTAACTCCAGGACTTCATATACCAGCATGCTTGTCGACCCATATGCTTGCTTGTTTAGTACGCTACGTCATTCAGACAGCTGGGACCCTTGCTGGGACCCTTGCTGACCCAGCAGTGATTGACTGGTCACAGGCTCATATAGACAATGGGTTTGTGCCTGGCACTCCTCTGACGCAATATATAGTAATTAATTGTCCAGTGAAGTCAGTTTATTTTTTTCAGGGAATACTACCATTGATTCATTGATGTAAAGTACTTAGAATATATTAATACACATTTTTAAAGCTGAAACTATGTGAAATACATTTCCATTTAGACTTGTATTGAGAAGGGAAAATATAGATTTATGATGGATATTGTAGCCTTTCTTCTGATGGCCATTGCAACAGTAGGTCTACTGGGTGCATTTATAAGGTAACAAGAATGATTTGGAGCCATATAAATAAAGGTATTGATTCTGTTTGTCTGAATAAACATTAACGCTTGACATGTTTTTTTAAAGGTTAAATGTCACCGAATGGAGATTGAATGGAAAATATCTGTGCTGGCAGAGAATTAAGATCTTCCTTTTTTGTGGATAGAGTTGACTACCAGTCCCTGTCAAATGGATGGATGACTTTCCCCAAGGTCATTAATTCATTTCCTGGACAAGGTAGGCTGGGTGATCAATCCCGCTCCTCCTCCGCTCCTCATTCTGATGCTCTTCGGTTCCTCCGCAGAGGAATACCATTCGAACAAAGCCTGAATGTCAAATTTCTGCTTCACTTCACTTCTCAAATGTCTGATATATTTGGGATGTCTCCTAACATTAAAATGCTTTTTTTCTCCAATCCTAAAGTGACACACACGCTTAGCTTTCCCCCAGCTGTGTGCAGTCCACCATCTCACTGGTGACTGAGAGAGAAAGACTGTCTCTCAGCAGTCAATCAGAGGGATCAATGAGAGGCATCATGGTCCATCATAGAGGCCTCTGTGGCCTCTGTTCGGGAGTTTTTAATCTCTCTCTCTGGCTATGGGCACGCAGCAGGCTAATCAATACCCCAAACCACCATGAATACACAACAGCATAAAGGGAAGAGGGGATTTATTCAGCAGATAGTGGCACTGAAGCACTACGGCAGAGCTTTCATAGCATCTCTGCAAGTATAGATACAGTAGGAAATATAATATTTCAGGCACATATAATGTTGAATGTTATGTAACTGCCCCATATTTAAATACACCTGGCAGAGACAGGCTGAGTATTTTTGTTGTTGTTTTGGGGTTTTTAAATCATTTTTTATGTTTTTCTACCATCTGTTAGCTAAAATGAAATAAAAAATAATTTAATTGCAAAACATAAGACAACTGAATGGGCCTACTGGTCACAGTCCCAGGGGCCCCAAGTATCAGGGGCCCCACTGGCCTTCACCTGCAAAATGTCACTCAAATTAACACATACCAGGAAGTCAAAATGACCACAAAGAGATGTAAAGGAACTGCAAAGAAACACAAAATAGCTACAAAAGGGAGCAAAACAACCAGATACCCCTTTTCATCCAACATGGAACTGGTTCTGTTTCGGTTCCAACACCTAATTTTTAACTGTTCGGAGCATTTTGTCCAAAGATTCAGATTCAGAACTTGAAAAGTTGGTTCCCAGCTGGAACCAAAAAACATAGCAGGTTTTTCCTCTGTCCTGGAGTATGAAGCGTAATGATGTAAGTGGGTGTGTCATATTCTACAGGTTGTAACGAGAGGATGGAGAAGGGAACTTTTTTTGTAAAAACAAATATCTGTAATAACAGAACAAAAGTTTGCAGATAATTTATGCAAAACACAGTTTTGCTACTGTTTATTTTGTTGAAATGTGGGCTGGTCGGCTAGATAGCACCAAGGTTCCAAAATCCTGAACAGAACTGGTTCAAGAACCAAAGTTAATTTGGTGGAAAGGGGGTAAAAGAGACATAAAACGACCAACAAAAGACACAAAGTTAACTAAAAAGGCCACAAAACAACCACATGGAGTCACAAAATCACACAAAGATGCATGACAACTAGAAGGAGATGAAAAACAAACAAAAAAAGAGGCTTAACTACCACTAAGTCTGTAGCCATTTTTACACAGAGACTGCACTACAAGGCTGCTTAAAAGTCCCTTTTTTATGTCTCCTCCACATTTTGAACCAAATAACAACGGCATCATTCTGCTCCAGAGTGTGATTACACACTGCATCAAGGCTTTGCAGAATCAAAAGAGGCATGACGGGCGTGACATGTAACACAACAGCATAGTATGATATAAAACATATGCATCGGCAGTGCTCTCTAAACAACGACAATGACATTCAGGTCTCAATCATTTACTGTCCCAGTCATATGGCGGCTGATCTCATCCTCTGCTCAGAGGGTAAGAAGCTTCCGAATCTCATAGTTTTTTCCAATTTGTGGACATTTACGGCCACTGTTCTCCTTTTTGAGTTAGCCACTAACTGCGATCAGCTACTTTTTAAATCTCCTGCAGTGAATGGCATGAATAACGTGTCATCAAAACGTCACACCTGTGCTGCCCATGATCCTGTCTTGCAGGCTGTCCTGTTTATACAGACACTGTTTCAGTGCTGTCACTACCTCCCGTGGTGACTTAAAGGCAAGACCACTCTGTCCCCACATTCTGCAATAGTACCTGATATACAGAGCAGCAAGGTGGCATAATAGTGTGATGTTCCCACCCTTAACAGACAGTGTAAAAGGGATTTGTGTGTCTTACTCCTGTGTAGGAGAGGTGGCGGGGCCTTTTGCATATCTGTGTCCAGGGACCCATTGTTTTATAATCCATCCATGAACATGAAGAGGACAAAAACAATGAATCCAGGCCAGTTGAAATGTCATCCCCCCATAATTCAAACGAAATACTGTATTTCTAATTCTTTGTAATCAAGGAGAATGTGTTGCAGAAGTTTAAGTGGAAGAAAAATATGTAACATACTGCATCATACACTCATTGTCCATAGCAGATTCTTCTTTGTTGCAGCCAAAGGCTATTTATTTAGAGAAGACAGGGAAGTCACAGGGACATTTCGCTAGCCCATGACCTTTCTTAAAACAGAGAGTGTGTGACCGGAGACTTCACAGATGACAGGAGCAGCCTTTCCAAAGGTTAATATGTTCATGCCTTCTCAGAAGCAGCTCTAATACAGCACAGTCCAGCTTTAGACGAATCACCATCAGCAGAACAAAACACAACAAAACTTCTCATGTGAACCAATGAACCAGCACAAAAGACCACTGGATGACCAAGCATTTTAAAAGAGGCCTTGCTACAAAGCTTTCCTTCATATTTAAATGTTTCCCACAACCACTGCCAGCAGTTATCACTGTATCGCATTCCTCATATACGCAGCGATAAAATACACAGCCTCTTATTGGAACAACTATATAAAAAACAACAGTTATCGCTCATGGGGGGTCAGAAATCAAACCTATTTAAGATTTAAATATCGATGGGTAATATTCAGAGCAGTGGAGCGCAGAAATGGATCATCCCCTGTTGAGCTGGCTCTGCAGATGGTGATAAATGTTTTATAGTGAGAAAAATCAATGAAGCTGTAAACCTGCAAAACAAATGGATGTTACCCTGTAACTTATGTATTTATGATCTGATGAGCAATGCACTGATTTAAAAACTGAGCCCCTTCCACATGAGATGCAACACCACCCTCTAGTGCACAGTCTGGTTCAATGAGGCCAACATCTGCAGGGTGCTTGTGTTTCTGATCATGACCAGTTGATGGTGCTTTGTCCTCAGGGTTGTTAGCATCTAACAGAGGGCTGGGCTGCATCATGTGCAGGCTGGTGGTGTAAAATGACAGCTCAAAAACTCAAGATTAGAGACTTTTATTCTCCATTTTCTCAGGTACAAGTGTACAAGGGTGATGGAAATCTTTTGCAGATCTCTCACTTAAGTAAAAAAATAAAAACAAAGATAAAATCTGAAAAAAAAAAACCATCCACAAAATCTGCTTTTCTGGTTAATTAGTTAGTTATTTTATTGACAAAAACAAACAAAATATTTGGGTCCAAACACTATATTAAAAAAAATCATGTATAAGATAAACCCACTAGTAAAAATTTAAAAGGTAATACACCTAACAACACAGAATCCCATCATTCAGTAGAGGTCTGCTGCTGCTCCGGTACCGCAAGACATGCATGTAACATGAACAGTCTTTTATCAGTAGCCCAGTTCTTCATCTTATATGGCTGATTTACAGCAACATACATAATGTTCTGGTGGTGCATGTCTCCACCTCCCCATTTCCACCATGTGAAAGTTATTCTCAGATGGTCTTCAATGTGCAGTGTATTGCTGGTAGAAAGT